GATAAAGGTTTTTTAGAACACAAAACCCTAATAATAAAAGGGTAAAAAGATTGATTTGGCCTTATCAAAATGAAAAATTTCTGCTTATCAAAAGACATGATTAAATTAAAGACATGATTAAATTTGCACCAATATAATGCAGGTGGTGGGTGAAAGGAGGAATTGGTGATAGTATAAAACAAATAAGACTATCACAAGTTGATAGTTTCTGAAGCTAGATGATAGATACATGCAAATTCGTCATTCTATTCACTTTTATGTTTAACATTTTCTGTAAAAAAGTGTCCATAATAAAAAATTTTACAATGTAGCATATTTAAAAAAACAGACACGACTATGAAAACGAATAGTCAAGGCACAGACAGGGTAAAAAATATTTGCTATACAAATGTCTGATAAAGGATTTATATCCAGAATTTACAAGGTGTCCAAAAACTTGGTGCAGTTTTAAGTGTTAAGCTTTGAAATAGCTTCAAAGTATATGAAGTTCAAATTTGCACTAAGTCTTTGGCCCCTACAAAGAAGAACTCCTACAACTAAAGAACAAAAAAGACAACCCAATAAAAAATGAAGACTTGAACAGACACTTTCCAAAGGAAAACATAACAATGGTCAATAAGAAAATGAAAAAATGCTCTACATCATTCACCATTATGAAAATTAAAACTGCACGGTACCAACACATACCCAGTAGAATGGCCAAATCAAAATGGTTGACAACCAAATGTTGGTGAGGATGTAGAACAACTCATACATCATTACATCATTAGTGGCAGTGGAAAATGATTTAGCTTGGAAGTTTCTCATCAATTTATGTACACACTTGCCAAATGATACAGCAATTCCACTTCTGTATGGATGCTTAGTTTTTTGACATCTTGCTAATTGCAATGACTTCATTCTATCATTAGCTATTGCCTCACATGGATACACACATGGAATACAGTTTATCACTGATGATGGTGGATTTAAATACCTATTTCAATCAGTCTTCTTGATAATATTGTTCAGTTCTAGCTCTTGTCAGAGCTTACTAGATCAATGTGGTTTCTGACCTCATTATGTGGCTGATCCTGGATATACACTGTAAAATGCTGTGTGAAAACAACAAGCTGGTGGAGTAACTGATCAACTGCAATTTTCTGGAAGCAGGATTTTTATGTGTTCATCCCCCACCCCTTGTCTTTCCTGTTTATATCCATATAATTTGCAACCATATCCCCATCCTGGCACATAGAAGTTACTGGTTGAATGGATAGTTACACATGCCAGTGGCACTTTCCTTAAAATCTTAGACTGTGCAATCTGAGACTATGCCCCTTTTGATTCTCACTTCCAGGCTAAGTAAGACACATGGACAGGGGCAGCGAACACTTACGGGACTGGAAAGAATAAGGGAGGCAGCGTTCACCTTGTCGGCTCAGCTGAGTCAGTGAGATACTCATATGCCCTCTAGTGGTGTAGGTGGGAATTCCTCTTGGCTCTCAGCAGTTTGGCACTCTTGAAGAACTGGCTGAAATCAAGATGAAATTATCTGCCCATAGATTAATAAATGTAGTAATACATAATGTTGTATATTCTGCATAGTTGAGATAAGCATAGAAATAAATTTTACACATGACCTGAAGCTCTGAGGGCTATGTGATTTGGGGCTTGGGGTCATTTCTAATTCATCTCAACCATTCTCCCACAGGGACTTATACACCATTGTTTAATTTTTCCTTAAAAAGTAAAACTTTCTACCAAGTTTAGACAATACAAGAGGGAAGAGAAAGACATGTAAGTGTTCCTCCCAGAATCTAAGCCCCAAGTTCACAGCTTCCCTTTCTGAAAATAGACACGAGTACCAGTAGGATGATCAACTGGTCCTGCTGTACCCCAGAATTTCCCAGCTTTAACCCTGAAAACCTCTCATGCTGGGAAACCCCTCAGCTCTAGGCAAACCTGGACCTCTGGTCACCCTACCTTCCAGAGACATCTATTCATCACATACAAACATATGCATACACTAGTTGCATTACTCAGCATTCTGAGGTTATTTTAATTAAAAATATACTTTGAAGATCATTCTATATAAGCTGTATATTCATTTAACAAATATTTATGGCATTACCTACCATGCATTAGGTACTGTTTTAGAAGCTGAAGATATAGTAGTAAAAATGGACAAAAATTCCTGTCCTTTCTCATGGAGGTCACATACCAGTAATTACATCTATTGTATTTATTTAATCTCTTTGCTAGTGTGACCAATGCTGTCCTGGATATTTGTGTGAGTAGGTGTATAGCCACATTGTCCATAGAACTTGCTGTTACAATGGAAATGTTCTATATCTGCTGCTTCCAATACATAACCACTAGTTACAGGTGGCTGTTGAGCTCTAGATATATGGGTAGGGAGACAGAGGAACAGAAGCTGGGTGGCTCAGGTCTATGGGATAAAGCCCTGAAAATAGAAAAGTTGTATCAAAGGTTATGTGCTCTGGCAACTTTGATAATTACAGACAAATTGCCCACTAAAGAGACTGTAATAGTTCCTGTTGCTGCATACCAAATGATCACAAATTTAGCAGCTTAAACCACACACATGGATTATCTCAGTTTCTGTGGGTGAGGAGTGTGAGCAATGCATGGCTAGATCATCTCACATTAGAGCAATCTCCCTGAAATTTTCTTTAGGATCATTATTTAGATGAGTAACTTTTCAAGGTATATATCACGACCCACCTACCTCACTATTGGACACCTTATCTTTCTCCATCACATTGTATCCCTAACACCCTGCAGAGGTAGTTAGGCCCACAGGAATTCTTTGTTGCCTGAATGAATGAGTCAGCCTTGGCAGTAAAAATCAAGTTTGTGTAACCTTTGAACAGGACCTCCCACTCCAAGCTCACATCAGAACCCCAAGAGGATCTTAGATGATGTGGGCAATCTGAGGGAGGCTGCCAAAAACTAAAGGAGAGGAAGAGACTCTTGTAAGAAATATTTTCCTCAAAAACATTGAAGGAAAAATGGGATGAGAAAAGTTCATTCATATGATGCACATTATCAGGTTGCTTTTTGTTGAAAACTAGCAAATATGAGTATGGAGAGGAGGGAAGGTTGGCAATATATTCAAAAGCTAAGAAAGGAATAGTGGGGACATTTTCACTGGGAATGCCTAGGAAAAGCAGGAAGAGATGGAGCACATTCAGTCTAGTGTCGGCATTGACAGAGGGAGGGGAGGATGGGGAGGTTAGCGGTTCTCAAAGTATGGCTTCCAGTCCAGCAGCATCAGCTTCACCTGGAAAACAAACGCAAATCTTGGGCTGCATCCCAGGCCTACTAACTGGCCGAGACAAACTCGGGCGGGGGCGGGGTTAGCTCCAGCAGTTGGTGTTTTAAGAAGCCTTCCAGGGGAATCTGATGCACAGGTGCCAAAGCCAAACTGCACATGTTGGAATCCTCTCATTTTCCATCTGTGCTGACAGGTAATTTACTCTCTCCGTGCTTCAATGTGCATACCTGTAAAATGGAGACAATAACAGAACCTAAGTCATAGGTTGCTAGGAGGATTTATTCATGTGAAGTGCTTAGAATCATAAGAACAAAAAACGTTCACTATTAATATTATTTCAATCCTGTCTCGTCTCTTCGATTAAGTTTATAAAAGAGACCAAACTGGAGGCACTCAGAGTATTTGAAGCCCAGGTCTGGGGCTCTGCTGCCCCTGCCACCCTCCCTGCAAACCATGCCCCGGCCCCAGAGTCTGAGCAGCTACAAGACCAATGCAAAGGCTAGTAAATACCCACCATATACTTCTGCCCCTGCCAAAGGTATCCCCACCCCTGGAAAGAACAAAGGATACATTTGGTAAGGAGGAGATCAAATGCATGGTTACCTAGCACAGGAAAACCATAAAGTATAGGCATTGGCCCTCTTGGGCTGCTGTCTACACGCCAAATTATTCGTTGGTGAAAAAATGCCTACGTGGAAAGCTAAAAATAATCCTCCTGTTGCTACCAGGCCAACCAAAATTAATCCAGAAGACTGGGAATGGGACAGAGGGCACAAATGTGCATTCAGTTAACCTGGGTTTATTTGTCCTGTGTAGACTCCTTACTCTGAAGCTTTTGTGACCTTTCAGAGTGGAGGCTTAATTGATGATTGACTTTCCTGATTAAGAAAACCATGCAGAATTGTTAGCAGAGCCTGCCTTTTGAAAAGATGTTACAGCAGAGCCAATTTGATGCAAAAGAAAAGTGGAGAACGTTTAAAAACACCTTGTTCAAAGGTTGCTCCTTTCTTGTGAAATGGAGGTTTAGTCTACCTCTTCAAGCCTCGGCTTCCACATCTAGAGTGGGAGCTGGACGCCCTCACCGGGAGGCATGTGAGCACAATATTAAATAATGTTGACTCACTGAGGGAGACATGCTTCCCATTACTTCTGCTCTCACCAAGAATTGTCAGTGTGGTGATGGCCTGTCTTCAACACCTCTCTAATAATGGCTAATTTCTCTTTCCCGCGTCAACAGTATTCTGCATGAATTAACACTTTGTTTCCTTTGTATTTTTACAGTGCTGTTGTAGAAATAATTGATACTGATTTTCTATTTGTAGCTCAGGAGTGATAGCTCTCCCTTTAAAAGTTTTTTGCTTAAGTGTAAAGAAAAAGCAACTCGATTTGAGAAGAAATATTAAGCATTACTAACGATTTAAATTAGGGAGACAGTGGTAGAAGCACAAAGCCGGTTCCAATTCTGCGAGTCTCCGGACGCGGCTTCCACATTTCCCAGGTTTACCTTGGTCTCTCCCTTCTCACGCGTCATAGAAGCCAAGAGGCGTGGCCCACCCAGTAGCCCTTTCTTGGCCCAACGCACGTTTCACAAGCCCCGCCCCTCGCGCGCCTCATTACCTGTGAGCCCCACCCCCGTCCCACCCCTGCCGGATACGGGCCGCCTGCGCCGCGCGCTCTCGCCCGCCCCTCGGCTTCGTCCCCTCGGGCCGCTCGCCCCTCCTCCTTGGCCGCCTTTGCGCTGCGCTCAACGGCAGCAAGATGGCGGCGCAGCAGCCGGTCCGTGAGGGTGGTGCGCAGCTGCCGGGGCCAGCGGCTGCAGAGGCCGACCCGCTGGGCCGCTTCACGTGTCCTGTGTGCTTAGAGGTGTACGAGAAGCCGGTGCAGGTGCCCTGCGGACACGTGTGAGTGGCGAGCCGGGGCCCGGTCGGGAGGCCCGAGACTGAGGGGAACAGCCGCGGAGCTAGGCCCGGGCGGGGGCGGGGGGACCGGCCCGAGGGGCCGCTCTGCGGGGCTCCCGAAGGCCGGTGGACGGTGTGGGGGCGCTTGCTCCCCCTCCCCTCTCTTGAGCGCCTCGCTGCGTTCCCGGCGGCCTGTCAGGCGTCTCTCCCTGTGGGCCAGGGGAGTCGCGCCCCGCTGGGGGTGCGGCGGGGCCTACGTGTCCGTGGAGAGCCGCAGCCCCCCTGAGTCGTCTGCACGCCGCCCCTGAAGTCTAGTACGTGTGGCGTCGGGCGTCCAGCTCTGCCGAGTAATTCTGATGTGCCCGAAAGTCGGGGAAACGCTGAACTAGACTAAAAGAACAAAAGAAAAGTCTTGATACGGATCTGACCAGTCTGCCCGTAACTGAGAGAGGGGTTGGGATTTGGCACCTGGGGATTGTTAGCATTCCTATTGTGTAGGAGGTTTGTTTCATTCTGTTTGGAATTAAGCCTTTATGGCCTGCATATTGCTGATAGACTGGTTGTGACACCGACAGGAGATGTGTGTGAAAATGTCCAGTGCGGGTTCTGGACTGGGGTAGGCGCCTAGACGTTGGTGGAATTTGAGTCTTGCTCCGTCAGACGTACAAACACCTAGGTTCAAAGAACTGCAGAAAAACATGGTCACCTGCTTCTTGCTGCCGGAGTTGCTGTTTCCTCTGTGATCCCATCGTGGGCATCACCTTGGTGTTGGTCTTAAGGCACCTTTACTGGTCAGTAGGCACAGCAGGCACCTGCTGGACCTCACAGTTCCTCTTATTTCTACAGCAGTCCTGAAGCAGGGAGCGGGCTGGCAGCCATTTTGCAGGTGAGGGGACTGAGGATCCTTTAGGACAGGCTCACCATTGTCTTAACTCTTCCCAGAAGGGTTGCAGGCATCTGTTTGCCAGCCTAGAGAACTGTTGGCACCTGGCAAGGGCTTCCCAGCCACACCGACCGCCTTTTGCTTCAAGAACGCTGAGCTCTGCCTAGCTTCGGGCTGTTCTGCTAGCAATTCAGTTAGCCTGAGCTCTTCTGCATCTGCACCTCCCTGCCACTACCCCAAATTCTTTTCACACTTCAAGTCCTGGTTTAAGTTACCTACCTTATCACCATCCCCATTTATATTACTTTCCCACGTCACTCCTGTGGCTTCCTTGTCCTTTCTTGCACAGAGCAAAAGTTAGGGATCATAAGGGCAGTTAACCATATCTGTTTGCCCCACTCTGTATGCTCAGTGCTCAGCACAGTGTCTAAACATTTGTCTTCCAGTCTTACTTCAACCAAGTTAAATATTTGTATGCCCATTATGTGCCAAATTCTTGGGGTATACTAAGATTCAAAGGAATTCTGCCCTCAAAGTGCACAGTCCAGTGAATTCATAAGTAAGTACTAGTAAGTGTTCGAATTATTGTGAAAATTCGTTGTGTAGTGGGAGGATATTACAAGGATCAAACCTGGGTCAGTGGGTGGGGGAGTGATCAGGTAATGGGTGAATGAACTAAAATGAGTGGAAGCAAACTTCTAAGAGTTGAGATAGAATCTAGATAGCTTTCTCACTGAGTCCTCTTTTCCTTGGATCAGCCCTCCTTATGTTTACCTAATTTTGGATTAATTCACTGGATTTCATTTAACAAGTAACATTTATAAAGAGGCTTGACCCAACACAATTTACAATTGAAGAGAAAGCAGAATTTGAGGTTTCTTTGAGCCAGATGAACCTTTCGTAAGTCAGAGAGCAGTACTAGAGTTCAAAGCTTGAATCCAAAGGGATTCAAGTCTCTTGTGCATTCACCATGCTAGTTCCATGTGTTTGAAGATGGATGCACCCCTGTGAGGGCAGTGCAAGTCTTCTTTAGCTCCAGCCAAATGCTTGTTGCGCTGCCTAGTTGATTTTTGTTAACTTTTGTGCTTGGAAACTTGAGCATTACTGCAGCTGTGGCTGGGTGGGGCACTGGATTTTTAGAAAACTTTGTTTCAAGCCATGAATGCCTGCATCCCTCTCCAATCTAGTGCATTATAACTGGAGATGTGCGGGTAGCTGAGTGCCAAAGAGAAAGGACTTCCTAAATAGCACTGTACCAGAAAGGGTGGAGCATCTAGAGGTCTGAACTAGAGAAGGGCCCATAAATAGGAAATGGAAACTGAAAGCCAGCCCAAGATAATGGGACCGTTTAAAAGCAGGCTCATTAGTTGGGCATGACCCAGACACAGAATGGCTTGTGAACATTTGGTCAGTCAGCTGTATATTTCAGTGTGTGCTTGAAGGGAGGCTTTGAGCTGCTTGTATCTACAAGCTGGGTTTGGTTTCATTATGCTCTCTGGGACCCTCTGTGCTCTCTTGGGTTACTCATACAATCTGCCTTTGAGAAGAGGTAGAAATGATGGTCACAAGGCTTCGTCAACCTCTCCAACCTCATTGCTTACCCTCTCCTTGTGTTTTACCACCTTAAGGTAAAACTGCCTTTGGGACCCCCCTTCGCACTTGGTATCATCTCTTTGTGGAACTTTTTGTGTCTAGGTCTGTGCTTCTCATAATTTCAGGTCTCAGTTCAAGTGTTACCTTCTTGAAGCTTTCTATAATCCACCCCAGCTGATCTCGTCCCTTGTTTTATTTCCTTCATATACTTAATCATCTGAAATTAACATTTACGTTTTTCTCTACTCTCGAATATAAGCATCATGAAGACAGAGACTTTGTTTAATTTACCACTGTGTCTTCAGTGGTGAGTCAGTAGACCCTCCCACCTCCCAGCCTGGTCCAGAATTTTGCCTGGCAGCATTACCATCTAGCGTAATGACAAAGGAAGAAAATTCTTAAGCACAGTAGAAAATTGTCAAATACAAATTGTCAAATATAGGTTACTTTTGATTATATACTTTGAGTGTTTCTTGGCAGGTTTTGTTATATTGTGCCTTAAATCGTAAAAGGTTGGGTATGTAGTCAGGGCATTTTCATGCCTATTATCCATTCCTTCTGTATACATTACCTCAGCATCACCACCAGCATAGGTTACAGGATAGAAACTTGATCTTCAAGTCTCTCTTTGTCTTTTCTCACCTAAAAAATATTTTAAAAACCAATGACTCTTGTCCATGATACCTCCAGAGTTATTTTTCTACAACTTGGAATTGGTCTTGTTGATACATTGATTTAAACATCTGGGTCCCGACTGCTTATGAGGAACAGTGTAAGACTTTTATTTCTTCAGCTACATTATGAGTTTTTAACTCTATTGGGCCGGGAATATTCTTCCTTTTTTCTGCCAACTGAGCTCTCTTTTAAGGCCTTTTTGTGGATGCTGCCTCTGAAGTCTTCCCAGCCTTGCCCTTCTTGGGTCACAACTTTGCTCTTGTCTTTGTGTTCCCATAGTGCTTTGCATTCACCTCTAATGATAGCTCCTGCTTGTGGTGCATTTCATATGTGCTAGACTCTGTACTAAGAGTCTGCTATACATATTCCATCCTTCCAACAATCCTAGAGGTAGGTACTATGATCTCCGTTTCACAGAGGAGAAACTGAGGTACAGGAGACCCCCACCAGAATCCCCCAGTAGACGGAGCAAAGGTTTGAACAACACCTCTGGCTGTGCTGATATCACAGTGGTTTGCCTTTGTTTCTATTTTTGGACCTGTGTGTTCTTTGCAGGGCCCTTTCCTCCAACCCTTTTTTTTGGCCAAGGAGGACTCAGTATTTGAATCAGGAGTAGGGAGCAAGTTGTTAATTCATTGTTCATTGACGTCTGTTTAAAAGTTTATCCATTTTTGTCGTCTGTCTCCACAATGCATGACGCAGGTTCTCTGTGTGTCTTGTTCTAGCTTTTGCTCTGCATGCCTGCAGGAATGTCTGAAGCCGAAGAAGCCTGTCTGTGGGGTGTGTCGCAGCACTCTGGCCCCTGGCGTCCGAGCCGCGGAGCTCGAGCGGCAGATTGAGAGCACAGAGACCTCTTGCCATGGCTGCCGTAAAAATGTATGTGGAAGTAAAATGGAGGAGTCGGTATCTTTCTGTGATGAGATGGGGTAAAACGGAGAGCTGTTGCCACGCTGTTTCTGAAGTTAGAGCATGAGTAGGTGACTAACAGCATGTGTGCATGCTAGTGACCTGTGGCAATGGCTGTGCTGTTTCATTTTGGTAACCTTATGGGTTCTTTTTGTTTGTTTTTTTTAAGATTTAGTTTAGTGTGTTACATATTTTTATCTTTGAAAGCCATAGAAAACAGTTATCCCAGTTTTTTCCTATAAAAAACATTTTTCAGAGCATTTTGAACAATTTAAATTAGCATGATAGAATGACATCTCTTACCTTTTCAAAATACAGAATAAGATGAGTGACTCAAAGTTACCTGCTTCAGTGAGTTTGGGGAAATTTCATGATAAATCTGTTACAGATAAAATTGTTCAACTTAGCACTCTACAAGGAGAAATAATATAAAGTCAGTAAGATCATTTGATTGTAATAGCAATATCTTACATTTGAAATGTATCCATGTTCTTTTGTATAATCATATTAGAGTCAAGTCTGTTTACTACTATAACTGCAAAAGAGAAATACTATTACCTTATTTTCCAAGAGGTGTATACAGCCTTATTGATTCTAAAATCATGTGGTTTTCTTAATTCCAGACAGTACAAAATTATAAAATAATGTAGACTTGCTCTGCATTTCAGAGATTACCTCTTTAAAAGTGGTTCAATTTAGAAGGCTGCAAAACTTTTCTGCCCTTTGACAAACACAGATGTAGGATTTTTACAAAATAGCATCGTACTAGAAAATACATTTCTACAACACTTTCTCACTTCTGAAAAAAATTGTAATGATTTTTGGAGAGCCTTTCATGTCAGCGTCATTACGTTAACACCTTAGTACAGATAGCCGTAGAGCGGGTGTATATAGTTTACCATCTCCTTCCTTTCAGAGTGACTAGCCCTAGGGTACACAGTGGGCACAGTTGTGAATAGGGATATTTCCCAGCCCTTTTCACTGGAAGCTCTTTGGTTGGTAGCTTGAAGTCAAGTTCCTTAGCTGGAGGTAAGACAGAAGCCTCATTGTAAACTGGAGTTCAAATATTAAAGCTTTTGTTTTTTCCTTTTAATTTAGTTTCTTTTAATTTAGAAACTCAAGATAATGAAATAAAGTGTCCTATTGCCTTCATCTTTCTTTATGCATGCGTGATGGGGATTTTGTTTTTTTCTTTTTTCTGTATGTTTTTTTTTGAGTTTTTCCATTTTAAAGATTAGTGATTATATCATACCTCCAAAAATTCTATCTTCCCTTTACCTCCCCTCTTTCTTTATTCCTTACACTTTTTCTTTCTTTTTAGAACACTTGTGTGATGAAGCCCTTTTCTCTGGGTTTTCTTTTTTCTCTTTCCATTCTTGCAAAGACTAGATTTCATAGGAAAAATAGAATAAATAGTTTGGATTTTTTAGATCATTTATCATAGTTGGACAGTTCATACTTTATGATTATTGGCCTTTTCCTACATCCCTTTTACTTAAATGACCACTTTTGTCTGCTGCACATGATGGAATATGGTTCTTGGCTTGCTGTAAGGAGACTAGCTTAAATGCTAGTTTGGAAAACTTTAAAAACTTCACTGAATTTGGAGCGTGTTTTTGAGCAGAGAGCTTATGTGAATAAAGCGAACCTCCAGGAGGGTCATCTTAGAGTGGAAACAGATGCCCTCATTTGGTCAAGTAAAACATCAGCTTGGTTTTAACAGAAACCCTGCAACAAACAGTCAGGGTTTCAGCCCATCACCATAGCCAGGAGCCTAGTGAGGTTTTTTGCCAGGGTGGTATAGGTCTAGTTTTTCATCTTGCCCTTGCTTTGGAACTATGTTAGACCTGGTACAAGATCCTGACTAACTTGTGGGCTCTGATTCTTCTCAGTTCTTCCTATCCAAGATCCGAGCCCATGTGGCTACCTGTTCCAAATACCAGAATTACATCATGGAGGGTGTGAAGGCCACCACCAAGGATGCATCCCTTCAACCAAGGTAAATGACTTGCTCCCCAAGGTGGAGGTCATCTTCTGCTCTAAAGACACTGGGCCCTTTGCATGTTCAAGGGTTTCATTGTATGAGTTTTAGAAAATGGAGATAAAATCGCTCTGCTGGCTAAAACTGATGTAAGTGTTTGGGGAGGGTATGGAGAAGGACTCTCTAATGTTCATTTCAAATATTAGCTGTTCTATTATTTCCAAGATACCTGACCTGACTTTGAAGTGGTCATCAGAATCCCTCTCATAACATATTCAGTGAGCTTTGCCCTCTTTGGTGGGTACAGTGGTTGGTTGAAGTTGTGTGGAAGTGTACTCACAGACAGGCTTCTTTTTTTCTACCTTTCATCTTCCAGGAGTGTTCCAAACCGTTACACCTTCCCTTGCCCTTACTGTCCTGAGAAGAACTTCGATCAAGAAGGACTTGTGGAACACTGCAAGTTAACCCATAGCACGGATACCAAATCTGTGGTAAAGTAACTTCTGTGGTGTTTTCTTTGTTTTACTGTTTATGGATAAGAGTCAAACAAAAATTACAAGATTAATACAGTGAATTCCTGTGTACCCTTCACCTAGATTAACTGTATTTGCTTGACCATACTCCATATATACATATTTTTTGCTGAGATTGTTACAGATGTCATGACCCTTTGCTCCTAAATACTTCAGCATGTATCCCTTATTTTCTTATAATTTCTTAAAAAGACATGTTTTTTTGTGTTCAGTTGTCATAGTTAGGAAATGTAATTTTTTTTGGTATCATTAATGTATAATTACATGAGGAACATTATGTTTACTAGACACCCCCCTTCACCAAGTCCTCCCACATACCCCATTAGTCACTGTCCATCAGCATAGTGAGATGGAAATGTAATTTTGATACAATCTAATACCTAATGAGGAATTCATGTTTAAATTTAAACAGTTCTAATGTCCTTCATAGCAACCTCCCCCTCCTGCCCCAGTTCTGGGTTTTTGTGTTAACTTTAATTGCCATGCCTTTGAAGTTCTCAGCAGGTGTTTGCCTTTCATGACCTTGACAGTTTTAAAGAGGATGGGAGTTTTGTAAAATGTCCTCCAATTTGGGTCTGTTTCCTCTGTGATTAGATGCAGGGATGCCCTATACGCAGTGTGTCTGTCCTTCAGATGCCACTTGGAGTGGTTTGAGGCCAGTTGGCCCCATTGTTGGTTACATTAACTTGGATCCCATGGTGTCCCCCAAGTTTCTCTTCTCTATAGCTGCCGTTTTCCTTTTGAAATTAGCTTCTTTATAGTTGTGGGAAAGAGAATTTAGATGAAATTATTGGGAAAGTGCTTTGACATTTAATTTAAACAGACTGATACATAGTTTCTTTTTAGTTTTTTTAAGATGTTTGAATTTGGTCCATCTCAGCAATGTTGCCCCTCCCTCTGAATGTGATTGACAAGAGTGTAGGTCCTAATACAACTTCCTCTGTAGTTTTGTTTCAGTTTTCCTGTTTATCTCAGAATGCTTCTCTTGAACTATATATGCCTACTTTTATAGGCATTCTTAGCTCCATTGATATAAAAGGTGATGTGCAGACTTTTGAATTTGCATGAGCTTTTGCTAATAGGATTAAGCCTAGTGGCATTCTTTATTTTTCTATTTTAAATCCTAAGGTACAGCTGACCTATTAGAGAATACCTTAAATCTTCTCTTGACTTTATTGAAATCCCTACCAAGTCCTAATTCCGGTCAGTACTGGCACTTCTTACACTGTGCTATGACAGATTCCACAGACAGGTCCCCTCTCTGTCTGCTTTCCCCAACTTCCCAAACTAGGGAACTGGGCTGCCTTGGCCCATTTCAGGCAGACCCTGTTTCTGCTGGGCAAACATACACCCCAGTGGCTGTTCTGGGCACTGTGCATTAAGTTTCTGGCATGAACTGATCCCATCCTTTCCACAGGTAATGCTAAATCCTGCTTTTAACTAAGTTCAGACTAACAGTTTTGTGTTCCTTCTCTCTTCCTTCTGTCTCTGGAGCTCTCTGGTCTACTTCTGAGCTCACAGACTGGCAGCCTGTAGGATTTGTCTGGCCCATACACATTTTAATTTCCCCAATCTTTAAAATTCAGAAGATTTCTCTATATTGGTACTACATTTGAGAAATTAGAAGTTCTGGCAAGAGCTGGCTGGCTTTGAGTAGTTGCTTGTCCCTCCTGTGCACCCCCGCCCCAAATGGGGTGAGTTTATACCCATCATGCTTTGCTGATTTGCCTTATTAGGCACGTTCCTATGAGCATTTAAGTTTGCAGCCCTTCTCCTTTGTCCTGATCATTACCTTGTATGTTGAGGACAGGACTCTGTTCCAAGTCTTGACTCCTGCATCCTCAGATCTAGGCAAAGGACCAAGACTAGTGCTCAGCACAGAGTAAGACTTAATCCCTGCTGCAGAGGCTCCCCCCACCATGTTTGGTCTCTCACCTTCAGCTTTCCACTCCACCTGCTCCTTAAACTTGTTTTCCTGCAAACATATCCAAGGCTTCCCTGTGTAATTGGTGGGAGGAATATTTGGTCCAGTGCTTTCTCTGGATAGCATTCGGTTGCTCTTTTCTCTCAAGTATGTGGTTTTTCAGCTGCTGCTGTCCCTTCTGTACCCTCTTCTTTATCCCCTCTAGAGTCTGGTTTGCACTTCTGCTGACGTTACATTCTGTGTGGTCCCAGCTAGTCTTGAGTCCTTGTTTTCTGTCACCTCTTTGCAATTTAAGATACTTCTTTGTATGTAGTCAGTTCATTTTATAAAAAGTGGATTGTAAAAAATGTTTCTCTAGCCTCGTTCCCAAGTCCCATGGTTTCCCTTCTACACCATCAAATGTTAACAGTATTTCTTATAAAGTCTTATAATTCATTCTATGTTTGGATATGATATATGCATTGCAGTACCACTTGGCATTTTCGTATAATAGAAATAAACCCAGTATAGAAGTAAAACACCATACCATGGTAGCCTGCCAGTCTTCCATGAGATCCATTACAAAGAATGATTCTCACTCAAAACCAGACTCGTGATTTGATGATGATATTCATCTTTCTAATGTTGGCAGCTTTATTACAGAGATGACTATTGAAAGTTCTGTGGAGAGATGCTAGCCTGGCATGGTTATTGTACCTGCTGTTTTTCTTTTCCTCTGATTCCAAAATAGCTACACAGGACATACCCTTTGGGTGCACTAGGCAAGGTAAGAGATGTTCTGTGAAAAACACACCAATGCCAAGTTCTCAGCTTCTCCTTCAGTCCATTTAGTTACAGTTCTTCATGACTAATTACTAGTTAAAAGAACAAGTGTGCATAGACACAGACACACAAATACCACTCACCTGCCCCCACTACCCATTTTCCATTTTAAAGTTAGGTAAGCTCAACTGTTTCAGTAATTATGAAAACTAAAACAGATTTTAAGTTAAATGATAGAGACACTTTAATTCACTTCCTACTACCGTCTCCCCCGCACTCAATTTAGAAGCAAATAAATGAAGAGACCATTGTGCCACCCAAGTTAAGTGGCTTGTCCATGTTGATAGAGCTAGTTGGTGGCAGAACAGGTACTGGACCCCAGTGTCCTGGCTTCTGGACTAGTTCTCTCTTCACAGCATCAGAAATGGCCTCTGTTGAGTGCTTGTTGGCAGTAGTGATCAATTGTGTTTGTGGAAAAATACAAAATCATGTGATCTGAAGACATTTCTAGCTTTTGAACATCCTTAGGAGATTCGTGTATGTCCTCCCTTTTATGCAAATGGCAGCATATTCTGTACACCGTAACCAAGGTTCTTGGCATGTGTTCCACAGCAGTACATGTAGATCTGCCTTTTTAATGAGCTCCATAGTCTTCTATTACTTGTCTATACCATGATTTAACTGGTCCCTTATTGATGAGTGTCAAGGTTAGTCCCAGACAATATCAAAAATCTGATTAAGGACTGGATATTAAAAGCTACTAAAGAATTACAGGTGGGATAATTATTGTGTTTGTAAAGGAAAATACCTATTTTTAGGACTGTACTGAAATAGTCAAGGATGAAATGTATCTTGTTTTACAGTGCATCTTTTTTTGCTGAAATAAGTATGCCAAACTTAAATCTAGGTGTTGGAGGTAAGGGATGGTTTATCAAACTATTATCTACTTTCCTGTAGGTTTGAAGTAAGAATTTTAAAAGGCTGCCGTAAATTTTAACATCTTCGCCTATGTTTATGTGTACCTACAAAATAAAATCTTCAATGTGGATTAATTTGGCTAAAGGTTAAGTGCACTCACATATTTGATAGATATTGCTGAACTACTCTGTGGTTTCTGGTACTGCAGTCTAATTGTTTCTTTTTTCTTGTCCTTTGGCTTCCTGAAATCCTTCTATTTTGTTTCTGTTGAAGCCTCTGTTCCTTCAGCTCTTGGTCTCTGTTCTGTCTCATCTCCCTCTACAGAACTACAGAACTCTATAACTGTCAATATTTCAGTTTTTCCCTTGGAAAACTCCCTCCTTCTCAGCCTTCTGACCCATGTTCCAGCTTCACTAGCTGCTGCTTTGCCTGCCTAGTTCTTCCACTCAGGGAGTCTTCCACCATTTCAGATTCCTGTCTTACCAAACCCCTCTGTCACTGTATTTTCCTCGTAAGTGGTGGGGTTCCCTCTCCAAGCCAGACCACCTACTCCTGCTTCTTCCCTGCGCCCAGCTCCTCTCTGCCACTTCCATGAATTTTTCATTCTAGCCAGACTGGTCTGGCCATTTGCCTGTAATGCCGGCTCCTGGTTCTTTCTCCATTGTACTACCTCTTTCTTGAGCTTCCTTTCATGTTCTCTTCTTCTTTTTAAATACCTATCCTCTTCATAGTCCAAATCAGCCTCCTCTTTGAAGGCTTTTCAACCTGAGCTCCCTCATCTGAGCTTTTGCTTTGTTAAAATAGCATATATAGCTGTGTTTTACTTACTTGCGACATTGCTCATCTGTCATTTTCTTGGTTTTCCTAGCACTTTGGATCATTTGTGTGCTGCTAGGTCAGGAGGTCATAGTCTAGTCCTCCATGGGGCTGATGTGTTGTTCTGACCACAGGGGATCAGGAAAAGGTGGGTTAAGCCTTTGCCTACCCTGAGTGTCATTTGACTCAAGTAGGAGACTGACAGTGTTTTGGGGATGTGAGTGTGCACATGAAGGAGTGACCAGGCCCTTCCTGGTGTGTCAGGAAAGCTGTCCTAGAAGAAAGGAGGCCAGACGCAGTCCACAGAGTGCCAGCGTCAGCTCACACATCAGGTGCCTAAGACCGTGCTTCTTTGTTGAAAGGTTTGTCCGATATGTGCCTCGATGCCGTGGGGAGACCCCAACTACCGCAGCGCCAACTTCATAGAGCATATCCAGCGCCGGCACCAGTTCTCTTACGACACTTTTGTGGTGAGTCTGGAGCCTCGGCTCTGATCCCTCCCCTGGGGGAACAGCACAACTACCTCCTTTCTTTTACCTGGAGAACTGTGGGCCCCATTGTTGAGTTTTGTCACTGATTTGATGGGCTCCCCGGAACAGCAGCTGTGCAGTCTATACTTGTGAGCCAGGAAGTAGCCAGAGACTTTGTTGTATAGTATTTAAGAAGATGAACTGGCCAGTCATCTTTGACACATAGTGAAAACTTGCTCCCATTTTTTTTGTTCCAAAATTTTTTGGAACTTCCTTTTGGTATGTGTAGTTTCTACCTGTTCTAGAGCCTCATTTGGGATCCCTAAGCTCACATGCCCATGGGGACCAGGCAGGTAATAGAAATGGTCCTCATGAGGATTTGCAAGCTGGATGGTATATGACATGTTATGCTGCCAGCAACTCCAGCTGATGGTTGTCCTATAGAAACACAGGCACAGTATTGCCAGTGCCCTCCACTTGCCCCAGCCCCAGAAAGCTGGAAATGCAGACTTTCATATAAAGTGTTGTGTATTTATTTTTTAAAATACTTCAGATCAAGCAAAATTCATCCCCTGGCTAAATGCAGTCATCAGATTTGTGTCCTTTCCTTAGAGCTGAGCAGTTTTGAAGGGGCATAGTGTTTTCTTGGTATTATAATGATAGATGAATTTGGCCAACTGCTTGAAGTAAACCTCGTATTTACATGTATAGATGTTGTTAGGATCTTAGAGTAGTATTCAGTCTTAAATGGCTGTATTTCAGGACCTGTGAAGGAAAGCATGACTGTTTCTTAAGTTGTCCTAAAGAGTATTTATTCGTGGTTTAATAGAGTGTCTGGAAGTCAGACTTCACAATAACAGTCCTTTGTCTTAATGCTATAAAGATGAATATAATTCCCAAGTACTGCCCAAGTAGATAGCTTTGACTCACTGAATCAAAAGAAGCTTTACCACAGTGCAACCCAAGTTTGAGGGCTTGGTCTGTGTCAGTCTCCACACAGGTGCTCTCTGTTCCTTATAGTCTCCAGCCAAGGGAGCCATCGTTATGTTTGTCATCAGGATGAGGCAGCAGACGCACAGAGAGATGAGTTACCTGGCTGGCAGTGCAGACTGCGGAGCTGGGAGCCGGCCTCCTACAGCCCTCTCCAGAGCCCAGTGCTCAGCTGTCCTGCCTCTACTGAAAGGGCGTCTTTGCAGCTGCACACAGTTGCTGAGCCTGTGTGTCTGTGTTTTGCCCTTAGGATTACGATGTTGATGAAGAGGACGTGATGAATCAGGTGTTGCAGCGCTCCATCATCGATCAGTGAGCAGAGTCTCTGCTGTCTGTCTCACGTTCCAGAGCTTCCATTACATGTTAACCGTGAAACATGAGACTCACATACCTTTAATGTACAACAGACCTGGAAGTGAGCTGTGGTATTAGTACAGGGTCCCTTCTGACAGGGAAGCCAGGCCCCAGGTCAGAGCCCCCCTTTCCTTTGGGCTCTTCCCCTACTGTTACCTGTTTGTTACATGTCTGCTCTTTTACTGCTCCTCAGTTACTTCCTGGAGCTTCTGCTTCCACTTCTGGAAGAGAACGCAGCTTCTCCACCTGTCCTTGTTTCACACTTGTTCCTCCAGTGTTCATCTCTCAGGTCCTCTGAGCCAGCCAGGACCTTTTCTGGGTCATGAATAGCACAAGTGAGACAAGTGTCTCCTCTCCTGGGCCCTGAGGGGTGTGAGCTCTGGCAGCAGTACATCTGATCAGTGACGGAGCTGCTCCTGTGCTTGGAAGTTACGTTAGTCAGGCCCTGGCAGCAGCTGCCAGGAGCTGGAGTGACCTCCTAGGAACATTTCAAAAGTCCTGTTGGGGTGAGTGTTCTGGGTTTAGCATGGTCTGATGCGGGAAGTTTTGATTAGTGATACTTTCCTACACTCCTGCACACCCTTAGAATTAACTGGTTCAGTCTTAAATGCCTGCATGGTGCCTTTTAGGATAAGGTGTAACCATATATTTTTAGTGAAAATAAGTGTTTCTAGGTTAGGAAAGTTAAACCCCATTTATCCGTAAGTGGGCAGGAGGGTCAGCTAAGAGAGGTGGGAGGGCCATAGCTTTTGGTTCAGTTTTCAGACTAATGAGGTATTTCAAATGACTGGGTCATGTTTCTCTCTAGGAGCTTGCTTACTTTACTCTTGTCTTTGAAGCATGAAAAGGAGCACTCAGATGAATGAGAGGGAAGAGATTTGGGGTCCCAGTAGATACTAGTTCTTTCATCTTTTATTTGGTAACTTAAACTGAGCATTGCTTTGTTATCACAGATGATTTCTTATGAAACTGGTTTCAACAAGTACATCAGGGTGTGAAAACCTGCCTTCTAAAAGCAGAGAGAGTTTATAGGAAATCTTGTATCACAGCTTCCTGTCTCCTGACAACGTGCAATTCAAAAAGTTACCACACATCCTCTGAGCCGTCATTAATAGAAACTGCTGGAAACTTGCTTTGGTAGTAGCTCAAGAAGCTTGACATGCAGCATGTTTCATGAATATTAGTAAATTTCAAGGCTAAGAGCCGTCAGTCTAATCTGTAGGAACAACTTCTGATTGACCAAAAGACATCTGGCTTTAGGTTCATTTTTTCATGTCAGACATCTGGACTGAATACGGGAATTTCTTCCGGTCGGTGGCTGAGGTTGCAAGTAACAGGGCTGTGGGTCTCTTCCTACCTTCCGGTAAGAGCTGCAGACACCTGGTAACCAACAAAGGTGGGGACCTTTTGGGACAAAATAATTTTTTCTGGTGTGCTGCTGCTTGGGAGAGCCCAAATGTTAAGGTCTGCTGCTTCACTGTAAATCCTGGGAAAAGTTCACTCAGACCTCCCGAGGTTGAGGTCATCTTGGTGTAAGTTGGGAGGGAAATTCAACAAAACCTTCATTTGAGGGAACTAATGAGAGCAAGTCCATCTCATTGGTGGTACCAAGAAACTGATTTCTTTGTATTAAGTGCACTTCATGTATTTCTAATAAGATGACTTTCCAGAAAGTGAAATTTGTTATGTTCTGGCTTTTAAAAGGTGAAATATTAATAAATTTCATAATTTATCCAACTCCTAAGCTGTAATGCCTGTTTTTCATTAACCCCTGTTTGCTGAAGTGTGGGCCTGGGGAGCCTGCAGGTAATTGTTGCTCTTTCTCAGGAGAAGTTCTTGTCTGTCACAAGTGAGTCCTATCCGGCTCTGATGCTTCACTGCCTGGGCCTCACCAGGCCTGTGTTCTTTGGAAAATGAGTAAAACTTTCAAATAGTTAGGAGCTCCAGTGAGGCAAGAATTGACAGCTTCACAGAGCAAGGCTTTATATAAGTGACTTAGCAGCAGCCTAAGACCTTGTAGTAAAGGGTCTCTCCTTCATCACTTAAAGGCATCTTAAGTTCTGCATGGCTCAAACTGAATTCACCCTCTATCCTTTTACTGTGCACACCTCATGCTAGGTTCTTTTTACCCACAGGAGGTACCACCATCCTTCCACTTGCCCACGAATTACCTTGAGCATCATAAACGTCTTTGTCTACCTCAACACCCCACATCACCAGACTGCATTGATGGTAGCTCCTGTGTGTAACATTGGTGTTTTCTCATCATTCCAGTGCTACCAGCACCTCAGTACCCACCATGATCTCTGAATTATTGCCACAGCTTTCCTTCTGGCCTCTCCAGTGCTTTCTAGCCAACATTCAGTCCATCCTCCACCAAGCAGCCAGAAGAATCATATCCTTTAAAGTCCTTAATCACTGCAGTTACCCTCAGATGAAGCCCCACAGCCCCCTGTGGCCCTCCAGTGTGCTCTGCCCACTGCCTAACTCCAGCCTCAACTCCTGCCACTGGCTTCCATGCTGTGTTCCAACCATTCTGGTCTTTTCTGCACCTCCAGTTAAAGTCACATCCTCACCTTCCCTCTGGCATATTTGGTGCCCCTTCCACCCCTGTATTTACTCTTAATTGTGGTTTGGATGTCTACATCAGAATTACATGTAAAATTCCTGTAGAACCTTCCACTACTAATCACAGCATTTATTAATCTCATGTATAAATACCACTAAAACTAAGTTACACAAGGCCAGGATTATTGTTTGCTTCGGTAACCCCATTGCTCGATACTTGGGTTGCCAGATAAAATACAGTATTCTCAATTACATGTGAATATCAGTCAAAAGTTCTATGTGTAATTATGTATCAAATATTGCATGGAATATAATTTGCCCAAGTCAAGAAGTGAATGCCAGGAGTATTCATACTAAAAAATGATAAATTATTTGAAATTCACATTTAACTGGGTGTGCTGTATTTTTATTGGTTAGGCTGGAAACCCAATGCGTATGAGAATAAATGTTCTGAACATCTGCTGTGTGCCAGGCAACTCACACCTTGTCAGATTATTTGTACAATAACTTGTTTTAATGGCTGTTTCCCACACTTGAGAAGTCACGCTTGTATGGGCAAGGGCTGTGCCCGTCTTGCACACCTCTGCACTCCATACTTGGCACCAGGTAGGCTCAGTAAAATACTCCAGAATCGAGGTGGAGCTGAAAAGGGGTCTACTCCAGCCTGGAATCAGGGCCTGTCGCGGTGGTGGGGAGAGCCGGAAGGGGGCAGTGTCCCCCTGGTGCTGGCTGGCCCTGCCGCCCATCACTGCCTGAGACAGTCCTCAAACCGGAAGAGCAGGTGGCAGCTGCCAGGTGGAGACCTGCCCTGTCCAGGCCCTCGACGTGGTCCCTCGATGCTCGCTTGCCTTCGTTACTCTCTTGTCCCCAGGCCTTACTCCATTACGTGCTGAATGTTGCCCCATGGGGCTCAGCTGGGCTCTAGGAGTATAGAATAATGACAATGTGATCATCCTCATCACGGTCCTGATGGTGCCTCCCCAGATGATTTTGATTTCATTCTCCTTTAGCTCCTAAAAGGTGATCAAAGCCCAGGCGTTCAGATTTCTCAGGAAAGGTCAATCTTGAATCCTCTTAATCAGATTTAGGGAAGAGGCGCTAATAGCATTCCCATTAGAAAGATGAGGGAGTGGGGCGCAGAGAGGGTGTGAGAGTGCGTCGTCTGCCCAGACCCAGGACGGCCCACTGTTACGGCATTGGGTGCGATTAGATGCACAGTTTGGGGCACACTGCGCAGTGCCCTATTCCCAGCATCCACACTGATACCTTGGGCAAGTGATTCTAATCTCTCAGTGCCTTGGTTTCTTCATCTGTAAAATGGGATTAATAAAAGTCTTCAGTCTCCTAGAGTTGTGGGAATCTAGTGAAATAATCCACATAAAGCATTAGAACAAGTCCGGCCACAAAATAAGTGCTTAATAAAGGTATGCTACCAGTGTCACACTTTTTCTCATCCATTCCTGGGACTACCCAGTTCCAGGCCTCATCCAAGCACCTAGCAGCTATGCAGGTTGACTAACCAACTACTTGTTTCCCAAACTTGGCCTGAAGACATTAATTGCTTGGCAGGCGCTTGCTACAGAATAGATTCTCAGGCCCCTCCCTTGTGTTCTGATTGGGTAGGTGTGGGTGGGGCCTGGAGCTCTATAGCTTTTAAAAAGAGCCTCCGGTAAAATGCATCCTTAGGCTAGTTTAGGAAATCCTTATGTATGCCAAAAGCCTCAAAACAAACCTGGTGTAGCTGGGTGGGGCAGTGGCTCCCTTATGGTTAGAGGCAGGTGGACAAGCTGAGTCCTTTCTTTCCATGTCAATATGGTAGTGTTTTTAATGGCTGCATGACGCTCCTGGTGAGGACAGATCATACGTTATTTATAATCAGTGAGATTTTAGGTTGTTTCCAGTATGACTCTGTTAGAGACAGTGCAAGAGTGAGCATTTTATAACTATCTTTGCCCAAATATCTGGGTATTTTATATCCAGAGCTACTGGGTCGAATGGAAAAAGGTTGGAAGAGGCAGAAATAGAGACAGGCAGAGTCTGGGCAGACTGAGAGACATACCCAAGGAGAGACAGAGGCCGAAAGAGATGAGGAGAGCAAGGTGATGGGAGAGCCTAGAGAGACCAGAGTTGCTGCTCTCCAGGGAGACGCAGGGAATTTGAGCATAAAGGTCCCAGTGCCCCTACAGACCGCAGGAATCCCGGCGAAGTGACTAAGCCTCTTCTTGGAACACACCCATGCAGATCCAATTGTAGCTGAGGTCAGAGTCCTTTGTGCAAGGATTTTCACTGGCCTATTGTTCTTGGAAAGCAGAAGAGGAGTAGCAACCTAATTGCCCACCGACGGGACTGCTTATAGATTGTGCTGTTGGTGCTGATAGGAGCCAGTCTCCCAAGGAGGGCTGCCAGATTTGGAATGGGACTTCAGGTAAAGAATAAGCCTGTCCCATTCAGTCTTATACTAAAAGCTGATTTTGTCGTTTATCTGAAATTCTAATTTAATTGGGCATCTGTATTTATTTCATCTGGTATTCCTATCTCCAGGATCAATGAGAACAGCAAGGTGAAGTCAGGATAGAGGGGTGTGTGTGTGTGTGTGTACACATGTGCATTGGAGGAGGGCTTCTCAGGTGGCTGTCGAGATTCTAGCTCCTGACCTGGGTGGTGGTTGTAGTTGAGGGGAAGGGACTTCCCTAGGGTGACATGGCCATGGGTGGTAGGGCTAGGCTGGACCCCCGCTTTATGCTCTGTAATAATTTGTGTATATGTGTATTAAATAAAAATATTAAAGTCAGATCACAATTTTCTAAATCTGGTTTCATCATTTATGATTTAAAAAAAAATACTGACAGCCTCAGAAACCCTTAAGGGACCCCGTCAGCCCCAGAGCCTCTGACTTCCTGGACTACATTCACATGCTGGAACACTCATCGGCCCCTCGGCTTCTTAATCACGGTGGCCACTGCTGCCTGGCATGTGCCCTCACTTCTCTGCTCCTCTCACCTGCCCGTCCTGTGACCTCAGCTGGGGTCAATCTGGCTCTCATTCCTCTGACTCACCATGGGTCTCCCGAGACTGCTGACCGGCCTGTTACCACTCCTGCTCACCTCTGAGCCTCTGGGCCTAGGGACCTTGTTTGTGTCTGGCTGGTTCATCACAGTTTCCTAGCCTGCTGGGCCAGGTACACTCCACCGCTTGCTTACTATGGCTTGGACATGTTAGTACCATACCTCTCTGAGCCTCAGTCTCCTTATCTGTACAATGGGGCTGATAATCTTGCCTACCACTCAGGGCTTGCTGTGGGGAATCAAATGGGCCAATGGTGATGGAGAGGGAAAGGGTAGATAACATTAGCATCCCTGAGGTGATGTTTGAACTGAGGTCTGCTCTAGGAGGGCCTGAGGAAGGATGTTCTGGGCAGAAGGAACAGAGACCCTGGTGCTACGAGAAGACCCTGTGTGAGGTGGGAGCAGAAAGGAGGCCAGTGAGGCTGGAGCAGACAAGCAATGGTGAGAGCGGGGTTGCTGAGCCCTGGATTATGCAGTGTCTTGACCACAAGCAGGGTTTGGATTTTGAGTCTGAAGCTAAGAGCTAACTTTGACCTAAGGAAATACTTTGTTCTCACTCTCCAGTCCTTGGCAGTATCTCCCACACTCAGTGGTTCAGAGATGCAGAGAGCCTAGAGGTAGGAAAGGGTGGTGTGGGTCGGGGAGAGAGCAGGTTCAGCCTTCGGCCAGGGCATATCAGTCCTGTCTGGGGGTGGTGTGTGTGTTGTGTGTGTGATGGTCTGAGACTCATGCGTGTGTGAGTCCCTGGTGGCAAATGGGTGGAGGCTAGCTGGGAGGACACAGTCTGCACCTTAGGGAGATCCCTCAGTCGCAGGACCTCCCAGTGCCAGCCCACAGGGGCGGAGAGGCCTGGCTTCCCAGCCTCATTCAGCCCACACACATCCAGCCACCATCCCTGAAACCTTGGATAACTGCTTTTTCACCAGGGTAATCACCTCCTCCCAGTTGCCCAGGACTGTTCCAGAACTCCCTCAGTCCTGGGCAAACCGGGACAGATGGTCACCCTTCTTATTACCCCCGCTGGACAAATGAACAAACCATTTCAGAGGCAGTCAGTATCTGCCTCGATTTTGTGGTTGGGTTTTTTCCCAAAAAAGTATTTTA